CCTGTGCCCCCCCAGAGTCTGAGGCCCCGGGCGCCCGCACCGCCTGCACCGGCGGTAGTTCCGCCACTGGGAAAGAACAACTATGAGAGATCAAAGCATACTGTGGTTTTAATAATTTATTTTTCCATACACCTTGAACAAGCAAATGTTGCACCCAAATTGAGTCTGATGGACTCATAAAAAAGTAAGTGTTAGAGCAAAGCATAAACACAGTGGTTCTTTTACCTTTTTGAAGTATTTATGACCCACTTGGTAGCTCTTTCCAGGATGTCTGTACATATACAATTGCATTTCATGAAGAGAATGTGCCATGGCATAGACAGCTTTGTAAACTTGGTAAGCTGTGCCAAACCTTTCAGTGTTATATTGAAAATTGCCTAGTTGACGTATCTTGACACTGCTGTTGCATGGATGCAGTGATATATTATATTGGCTCTCAATTTCAGAATTTAATAACTGATTTGAGGTTAGGCATTTGATATACATTGCAAGGATATGTTCTAGCAGAAGATCATTCGGGCGATTTGCGGTGCTAATGTCATCTAGAAATCTTTTCAGATGTGGAATTTTCTTTATGGAAGGTGAAAACACCAGACTTCCATGGAGCGATGTCTTAAATTTTGAAACAAGCAGATAGTGGATTAAAGGACCTGCTGGTACAATTAATGTTTTATCATGATGCCCCATGAACATGATGGTGGCCAATGAAATGGAACAAAGAACAACAATTTTTGAGCTTGATTTATTAAAGATCTTTTTTTTTTTAAGTGTAATTTCTGATCTTTCTGTAGCTCCCTCAGGAACTATATGAATAATGTACTCAACACATATATCATAAACAGCAACTGCTCTCTTTAACTCTTGACTTCTTTTCTCACCGCCATCATCATGGGATGCTATAACACCAATCCATGTCCAGCCAAAGTGTTTCAACAACTTTGCAATTGCCAGATACTGAGTCTGGTCACTAGGGAGTGTTTGAAAGAAGGATGGGTAGATGCGTTTATCAGTTAGGAATGGGTCAGTTGCACCATAACTGATCTAAACAAGACAATAAAGCTTCATTATTGTTGCAGCAAGCGGGTAACATGCTCACTCCCTTAGAAAAACAACCAGTCAGGACCACTAGTAGTAGTATGCCATATTAAACCTGACTTGATCTGTAATGTTCATCATGTTGTGCTACTTATCCAAATGGCTTTCTTAGTTCAAATGAGAGTTGGGAACATATCTCAACATTTATAGCCACATTGGCCCAGTCAACCTAAGCAAATTACCACAGGATCACAAATTGTGCCAAGCCAGATTATTATTGTGATGACATGGTGAGGAGTTTATAAGTTAAATGTGTATTGGTGTTGGGTTATGTTTAAGTGCGTTATGCTGTGTGACCTGGTTATGAAAAGACTATCAGCACCATCCCTCGTTATCTCCCATTGTACTCTGAAGGAGCTCAGAACAATGACATTCTTGCCAGGCCCCATGCTATGGCTGTCTGGAGCTCGTTAGCAGGGAAACCCTGTGGTGTTGAGCAGACCGATGGTCTGGGGAAGGCAGGGTGGATGTGATGGGATTATAATCTGATCTCATCACTGCTGTATAAAAGTTTGTGCAGTTGCTCAATAAATCAGAGTTTGTTTCACCCTACACTTGAGTCTCGACCAGTGACTGGGGAAACTGGGAGCTAAAGATCAGCGGGTTGCAATATCTCCTGAGCAAGGAAGAATACAGCGGCGGACATACTCATCCTGAGTACTGGGGTCCGTCACAGCCACCACTCCAATCTCACTTCCGCAATGAACTACAATCACAAGTTTAGTTTACTAAATTGTATTGAAGTTAAAGTCTATCATGGGTGTGATCTTGGAGCGGTGGCTACTTTACAACACACACAGGGACCATGGAGAAAAAAAGTAGCCACCATCTGATCATGATTTGAGGATCTACATGCAATCACCATAGCTCCATGAAGTCTAGGATGTGCATTAATTGTTTGAGATACATGACTGAAGGGATGATTTGTTGTCAGATTGCAAGGTTAAATATGTTGAACAGGATTATTTGTAGGTGACAAACTATGATGAAGCCCCCCACCTCTGTTTAGAGTTAGCTGTTCCAATTTAATGTAGATAGAGTCTTTCATGACTCTTGTAAACCATTTGTCCTTATCATCCAAAATCTGAACATTGCTGCCATCAGAAGAATGTCCCTTCTCCTTTAAGGTTTAGGAAAACTTCTAAGTCCTGACCTGTTGAGTTCACTTTCCTACATGCTAGGATATGTTCTTAAAGCTCGTTTGAACTGGGGGAGCCATTTGGATGAGTGGTAAAATATCTTTAACACTACAGAACAAGCTCAATGAGTTGTTGGTGCTTGTCGTTTTGGGAGGAAGCTCTCAGTACCAACAATAAGGGGTATACAGTAATTATAAAGCAGTAAATGTGACGTTTACTAAACAGTCACTGCATGTGGATCAATCAATGAATTAAGCACAAAGGGGGCCCCTTTCCCGGTAAAGTAAAAACAGAATAGTACTCACAAACATGAGTGTCACACAGCCATGGAATAAGAGCTGACAGGCAGTAAGTTTATCTTACTGCCTGTCAGCTCTTATTCCATGGCTGTGTGACACTCATGTCTGTGAGTACTATTCTGTTTTTACTTTATGGTTATTGAAATAAAATTGACCTGCACCAAGAAAGACGCCCCCTTTGTGCTTATTTCCTAGACTCTAAGCTTTCCCGGCTTTTTTGGGGCAGCATCCTGCAGCATGCCCAAGAGGATTTCCCATTGAGGATTGATAGTTTGTGGCGCTTCACTGCTTTTACTATGTGGATCAATCACTTTAATTGAAAAC